TTCTCTACAATGGAATTTAATTATAGCATGTAACCAAGTATGAAGACAAGTTAGGTGAAAAGAAAATCCGTCAAATCAACGAAGTTGAGTAAATCGAGTTTCTCCTAAGCTTGAGCGGTAATCCTCGAGTGCTTGGGCATAGATGCGATGGGTCGACGTGACGCGTCCCCGAGAGAAGCATTTCACATCCTGGAGCGACGGCTCTGTAAGAGAGTAAACGAGCGCGTCGCAAGGAAGAGAGCGGCAAAAGCTTTGGGGGGGGGGGGGATTGCTCTGCATAATATAAAGGCCGGGGAGAGGGAACGCCAGGGAGGGTGGGAGCCACCCCCGGCTCACCCCCCTAAGACAGCCATGAGTCGTTGCGCGATTGGTTGGCATTATTCAAAATGGCGTCATCGCGCCGCTGCATAAGATTCGGTTTAATAGTCGACGCGCAATCGAGGCTAAGGAACTCGAGCGCGCGACCTTTAAAAACCACACGCGGATGTCGATGTGATGATGTATGTGCTTATATGCCTATATAAGGTGTGGTGATCATCAGGCGAGGTGATTTCGGCTGAAATTGATGAAAATGTGTGCCCGACTATTTATCGATCGTTATGTAGTTTCGTTTTGCGTCAATGTTCGAGGTCCTTGCGTTATCAAAGAGCTGCATTATTTTTCTATAAGTCGTTCTATAAGTTCGTTGAACCGTTTTGTTAAATAACATTGAAAATAATGCGTATTAATTTCACAAAATACAACATTTAATTTTGATGATTATATTAAAAATTTTAACAAATCTTTTATTAAATTCGTAAAAATATTATACAATAATGCACCGATTTATGTTACCGATATATTACCGTTTATTCTATAAAGGATTTACTGTAATATATATACATATATATATATAATAGTTAAAATGTTATAATATTAAACAAATTACGAAGAAAAAGCCCGTTCAATGTTTTGAATAGAAAAAAAACAATTAGTTTATTATTATAGCTTTACTTAGCGTATTTATGCGTTATATTTAATTTATATTTATATGATATATATTATATTTCAATAATATTTTCGATTTTTTTACGAGATAATAAAAAGAACGGTAACAATACTTAATAATAACTTTTGAGAACATAGAAGAAAACTTGACATATGAAATAAACTTGTAGAAGAAGCTTCTCTCGTAATGCTTTATGAGCTCTCGCCTCTCGTAGCACAGTTAATTAATGCATTTGAAACGGATTAGTTTACAAAATGTACTTATGCCTTGCACAAGTCAATAGTGAGAGGAATAAAATTAGATCTCTGGGTATTTTCGTAAGACCTATTTTGCATTCGATACGTCCGACAACCGGTTAATATCTGTCCGAAAATGAAGCCGCGTGCGAAAATTTCTTCAGTGTAGAGTTACGCGAGTTCCGCGTAAACAACGCAATTAAAACGAGTGTAGGGTGTTATGGTTGGACACCTGGTTGAAAAGTCTCGAAGACTCGTAAAACGAGTCGCTGAGATACGAGTCGAAGAAGTTAGCTAGAGAGAAGTAACGTGGGGAGAGGTTTTTTCAATATATTCTCACCGTATGCGTTGACCGCTGGTCAAGCGACTCCTTCAACCCTCGTACCCCACGTGTAACGGAGACGACTTCGCCACAATCAAAACCCGAAAAAAATGCTTTAAAATATCGTTTGTGTAAATTCAAGTGGTCAAAGTGTGGCTGGTCGGTATCGTTACTTACAAATCAATTATAAATGCGAATTATTGATTACAATCAATCTAATTATTATAAGCAAAAGAGATTGATGATTTATTGATTTCATTTGTCCATCAATTTTATTTTTGTCATTAAAGAGATAATTTACTTATAAGAGTATAAGTCTTTATTTAAGTTGATAGATTTTTAATTTGCATGGAAATTCACTGATTATTCTATAGATATTCGAATGGAAACTTTAAGCTTATTGTAAAGTTTATTAAATGCAATAGTCGATTATATATATTTAAATAAGGTAATATTAGTATATTAAATTCTTAAATATTGACAAGTATAATTAATAGTCGAATGTCATGAACAAAATGAAAATTTATGTGGAAAAGATAATAAATTTGTAAAGACTTTGTAAAGATAGAGATATTTTAAAATTTGTATTTTTAATACATTATAATTAATTAATTAATTATTGAAATAGTCATAAAATCGAATGAAAAAGAGGTAGATGTGTTAACACAAAAAGTACATTTATCTATTATTAAGAATAAACGCATGTAGAGATTTATATTTGTATTCCTAAGTTCATGTAAAATTTAATATAAAATTATAGTTACTTTGAAACAAATGATTTAAATATTTAAAAAAATTAATAAATAATTGCGTCGTTTTAATTATTTAATTAATTGATAAGCTTATTTATAAATTACACGACAGAGCGACTAACGATATATACAATATTAATATTAATTTTAAAGATTTCAAATACTATTAAGAAAAATTATATTGTAGTTTCAAAATATTGTTTTCTCGATAATGGAGCAAGTGGCCTGAAATTGTAATTATAACACATTTTTTAATATCATACATCATACATCAATTTGTGATAATATAAAATTTCATAAATTGCAATTATACATTAAATCGGACCACGTACTATGCATGGTAAAATTTATATATGTACATGGAGTAATGAATAAAAATCTTGAATTATAAAAACATGAAACCAAATCGAAAAATCGATCAAAGTGTGTATAGCTTCTCAAGGCACTCGACCGGTTGGGTCATGTCGCCTGTCATCCTTCGTTCGCGTGTTTTCGCAAAACAGTCGGCACGCGAAATTTTCACAAGAGAAAATTAAGGGGCAACCCGAGATGCCCAAACGAGTCTATCAAGATTGTAGTCCCACGTAACGAGTCGTTTTTTTCACAATTCTCTCAGGGCATTGTCAATTCGCATGAATGGCGAGGGTCGCGGCTTCCCTTCCTGCACAATGGCCGATCGGCTCAACGCGCGAATTACAAGACTCGATTTACTTGACAGAATGGCAATCGAGTTGCGATTTGTGAAGATACGAGCTTTGAATGCGTCGCGAGTTGAACAGATTTTTGTTCGAGCCTTCAGTGTTCCTGTATGGGTGTTCGGTCTGTTTGGCGCATGTGAGGTTTTATAGTTGGACAATGTGAACGATTTTGATGATTGTGTACTTGATTTGGCGTTAAATGTAAATGGTTAAGTGATCATTAATAATAAAATTTATGAAATCATTAAATTTAAAGGTATTTTAGTTGAAGCCAATGTCAAAATCATTTTATTCAATGAACTTGCTTTATAGAAGATGGTGTATAGGAAATGAAAAATCTAAAGTTTCTCTTCAATGCGTATTACTACATTTTTTTCTAATTTAATTTTATCTATGACATTAAGAATTAAAAAAATTTATCCAATGTAATAAATGTAATTTTTATTTTACTATAATATTTAAACACAACTTTTCAATATGAAAATTCAAGAATTAAAAATTATATAAAAATAAATTTAACGTGTAAAAATATTTAATGTATAAATTTTGCCGCACACAGTTATTATGTTATATTAATTTATTCTAATAACAACATTAATACTAATTTCATTTTGTATTAAAGTGGCTAATATTTTTATACAATAATAGTTTTATTATGTACTGAATACTCGTGGAGTATTCTATTGTTACAAATGTTTGATAAGAATGTCTGATAGAACTGAACAATGACATTACTAATGTTTATTTAAGAAAACAAATAATTAATTATTCCATCAAATTTGAAGTGAATTTTTAGTTTTAAGTTTATTTTAATTAAATAAATATAGTTTCTCGTGACAATGAAATTCGGGTAAAAGCCAATGGATAAATTTGGTTAAAAATTTTTGATTTTTTGGCTCGAACTGCTAATGTTCGATAGCTTTACAGTTATTTGCTACTGCTACTAATAATTCTAACTACTAACTAATAATTCCAGATCGTCTAGTGAGCGTCGGAGTGAAGAATTCTTAATTCTTGAGAGAAGTATGCTGATTCAGTTGCCTTTATCCAGAATATCGTTGCTTTCTCCAAGGTTTCTATGTTAATCTGGATAGTGGAGGACTTTTCAATATATTTTCTTAGTCGTGCGTTAAATATGAGACAGAGTGCTGTCGCTTGCAACAATTTTTTGAGAGTTGAGTATCTGTGGATAATGTCCCATTGATATTGCGTCTTGGGTACTGTGGTTAGTAGTACGGCGCTGAGACGTGCTTTCTGTTCACATTGTTTGTCGTTCAATGTTGGCTGGATTGGCCATGACTTTGATCAATTGATAAAATATCTGGGCTATTCCTGTTGTGAATGTGAATTTGTCCTGCTTTCGGCCATTCAGGAGTCGTTCAGTTATACTCACACAATGAAGCCGTCCCAAGGAAAACACGTTTTAATTATAAAGTGTGCTACAACTTACAAGGAGTCAGATTGATCCAGGAGTCAGATCAGTGCTGATTGCATTACGAGAAACTATACGACTTCAACAAGCATAGTCTCAAGGTAGTTCCTTACAACTTTCAGACGACGACATCGCCATCATCGAGGAGCAACCACATCATTGAGACAAGACAGAGCTTACACTCTTTTGTGATCAGTGACTACTGCTTATTGGTAATATAATTGTTAATAAACCATATATTAACGTAGGTTGCACATATTACACATTTCTACAACCCTTCTACCTGACTCCCACCCAAGTATCTGCTAGGGCGGGCGGCCAATTATTACAGCTATCGAAAAATTGGTAGATCGAACTAAAAAATAATAACACTTTCGAACAATGTGCTACTTACTAGTCCCGTAGTTGCAGTGCGACTTTGATAGTTGTTCTGGGATGTATGGAATTGCGAAGCTGTCTTCGAAATATCTGCCATGGGCGATGGATGGCATAGCAAGAGGGAATTTGGTTCTCTCATCCTCCAGTAGTTGAAGTAATGTTCTGACTGCCAGAAACGGGGCAGCCTTTGTTGCCTATGTGACTGTTGTCAAATGGTATGACACTTCTGCTTGTTGTTCATCTATCCACAGGATTCTCTGAAGGTCCCAGTCATCTTTATGAATTTTTATCTGCCTGTACATTTTAGTGATGTCGGTGGCATACAGATGTCTTTGTCTTCGGATCCAAATTAAGATGTCTGATATTTCTGGATTCAAATTGGGTTCAGAATGCATAATGTCGTTGATTGACAGACCTGATATCGATGTACTGGAGCCATCAAATACCACTCTTAACTTGATTGTAATGCTATCTGGTTTGAGCAAACTGTGATGTAGCGGATTATATTGAATTTCATGCTTTGACATTGAAGTCTTCGTTATGTGGTTAAGATCCTCATATTCCTTCATGAGCTGTTGATGTTGATGATGATGATCCCCGTTTCTCGAAAATTTTTTTAATAGGTTCTGTAAGCAGCAACGGGCAGTGTTATTACCGTACAGTGTATTACCGATGCGGTTGACCATTGTGTTTATAGGAATCCGAATGGTGTACTTTCCGGGTGAATCATGTGAATGAGTACTCTTGAAGTGTTCTTCGCACTGCTGTTCTTAAGGTGTATACTTTTGAGCGTCGCTTAATTGTATTTCTTCTTAAATTCAATACTTCGTCAATAATTCTTCTAGTGTATTCTCGTCATCCTGTTTTGAAATATGGAGTGATGTGGACGTCGGAGATCTTATGGAGTCAGCAATTCCCAGCACGAGCCATCCAAAAATGGATAGCTGCTCCATTTGCATGGATGGAGAACGAGTGATGACGTGGGGCTTAACGATCTGCCCATACATGACTGCTCCAAGAATGATGTCTATTGATCGAGGTTTAAGATATTTCGGATCGGACAATATTAAGTTTTTCAAGTGTTGCCAATCGTGTGAAGTTGGTTCGAAAAAAGGACTTAATGATATTAATCTCTTCAGAATGTCAGCCTCTATGCTGACTATGGCCTTAAAGAGGATTGAACGGAGAGTGAGTGACACAACACCTTCTGTCTGAGTTAATTGAGCTCTCCCAATTCCATGAATGTAAATAATTGAATGTTTTTGAGGAATATTGTCTGATGATTTGAATTGAGTTCTCGTTGAAGAATGTAAGTTCACAGCCTGTATCAATGAGAAGACGAACTTGTATAGTAGTAGTTTTTGACAGTATTTTGGCCATAGCAGTGGCAAGTAACGGTGTCGTGGAATGAATTAGTACATCGTCGATTGCACTATCATCTCATCTGGACTATGGATTTAAACTACTAACTTGAGTGATTTCTCCATTGCCTTTCTCGCATAGTAGCAAGTGGTGTTCTTTAGGGCACCTCTTGCAGTTTTTAGAGCTTATACGCGAGCCCGTGTGGATTCTTGAGTAAGCGAGGCAGTCTCCTCTGTTTCTTCCCAAATTGCGTTTTTCTAATGATGACATTGTTTTCTGTTTTTTGGAACAGCATATGCATACCTGTAACTCGGATGATCCAAATGATTGGACTACCTGAGGCTTTTTTAATGATGTCTGGTAGGTATTGGATGTTCTTCTCGTGGAGCGTGTTGGAGTCGTACTGTTGGAATGGCTCTAGATCCATCTGTCATTGAGTCCATCCGTATTAACGTCCTTATCCGAGACGTTAGAGAGGTTTCCAGTTGAGCGAAGTGCGGGTATAAGGTGGAAGTGCTAGATGATGACTCCAATAATTCCCTTGTGGCACGATCGAGCCGTCGAGAGATCAGGTATACAGTACGCAGTTCCACCAATCTTCTATGACTCTCAAGGCCTGTAGCGGTTTCATTACTTCCCCGGTGATGTTCATGAGTTTCTTCAACTCGGCTATCTCCTCTTCAATTGGGTTTAAATTGGAGAAGACTTGATCGAAACATGATTGAATTATTAAAGGAAGTAGTGCATTTTTTCAACATCGCTAGTATCATTGTTGTTCAGAACCAAAGCCTTGAAAAGATCACGAAATTCAAGCCAGTCCTCTTGTTTTCCCGAAAACTTCGGAAAATTGACGCTTGGGAGTCGAACTCCTTGTGCTTGTGCCTTGATCGGCGAGACTTCACGGTTCACAGTTTCTCACTCACGTTAGAAACTCTCTTGAAGGCTTAGCAAAGTCTGAGATTTCATCTCCTGAGATTTCACACTATAATGATTAGTGTTCCTCAGCCAGGTTGTTCGTTAACTCTTTTTTAATACAGAGTGACTTTATTTGAATACAGTGTGCGCTTCTTCGTTAAATATAGTTTTATTATGGCTTATTTACAATTACATTTGTTGCGTTGGAGTTATGTGATGGAAGGGTATATACTATGTTCAGTCACGACTATTCGGTTGTTTGAACTAATCCTGTAGTGAATAGTTTACCTGCACGAGATGTTCCTTGATGTTGTTGTTCATCTTACAAGAATCAGCAACTGATTATGCACACTCTTATTAGTGAGTATGGTTGTGCTATATTAATATTAGCATCATGCTAATCTTGTAGGGATTAGCAATGATTTATGCCTTAGACTTGGTTTACTTACAGAGGTACAGTAGCCTTGATCTGATCCTGTGATGAATGGTTCATCACCCCGAATACTTCGTGTGGATGGATATGATTTGGTTGGTTGTAGTCTGGTACTTTGTCGATATGAAGGGGATAGTGTCAACTCCTTTATCTTGCACAGAGGCGAATTGACGTGTCTTTCTTTCATGCTGGGCTTACTTTGAGAGTGTATGGCGAATAGCTTGGTGGCTGACTAGCATGACTGACTGGTTTACTGGCTGAGTAATTATAAGCGTCGTCTCGTGGTTTGCTTGTCTTAAATATCCACGCAGCAGATTACTTAGCTGACAACAATGCATAGGTGTTGCTATGCGGAAAACATTGCAGGACGTTCGAGAGTAAAGCTTTAGATGTTTTGAGAACTCTGGGAAAGCAGAGCTTCAGAAGGTTGGAGATTTCCAACCGACGTTGCTATAAGGAGACCAGATAAACGTTGCAGGACGTTCAAGAATTCTGGAAATCAAATGTTTACAAAAATTCGAGAGCTAAAAGGCTTATACATTTTTGAGAGTCTTGTGTTAGAGTGTTAGAAAATGCTCCGATTCCGAACAAAATTGGAAGATAAGGTAATTATGTTTAATATTAAAATTAGAAAATATAATTCTGCCTATAATTTTTTAATAATTAAAAAAAATTAAATTACTTATAATTATATTAATTTTTTTTGGAAATAAATACAATTAAAAAAATAGAAAGTATAAATAATATGGTATCCTTGAACGACAATATTGTGTACCTCACAGAAGAAATTTTATTGATTTGAAATTTTTGATTTTGTTAAATAAACACAATTCGAAGTAATAATATATTTTATTCAAGTATCTTTTGTTTTAATATATACATGTAAATGTGTATTAAAGAAGTATCTTTAATTTTTATTGTAATATAAATGTAGTTAGAGTTTTATAACACTTTAACGAATAAATCGTCAGTACGAAAATGTTTTAAAAGCACGTGTCCGATAAAACGGCGGTCTCAACTAATGAAAATTTCACTTGCCCTTTTTACATAACCGCCCCTTCGGGAAAGATGCTTTCGGGGAATCTGGCTTTTCACCCTCAAGGAATATTCGTTCTCCCCTCAATTGGACTCCTCTGAGGGCCCAATCTTCGTAGCCGCTTGCATAGACTTTGCATAAAGCAACAATATTTCGAAGAAGATGAATGACAAAGGGGGTCGTCCTCGACGTTCTATCGAAATTCCGCATACGTTTCGACTTACAGCAAGGTATGGGTGGAGGGCATATGGAGGGAAATGCTGCTTGACTCCTAAGACAATTAGCAGGTGGGATGGAGTGCACGTAACTCGTGAATGTCGTCGCGTAGTCGCATGCGCGTAACATTAATAATGCAAACGAGCGTCGCCGCTTTCTACGGCAGGCGAAGACGCGAAACTACGAGTAAGTTTCGCTGCTTCTGCCAAGGGCTTTCATGGGTGGGAATAGACGTTAATGTGAGCAGAAAGCTCTGAGGATATATGCTCGTACTCCCAAGTGTCCTTCATCCTTCTCTCTCTCTCTCTCTCTCTCTCTCTCTCTATCTCTCTCTCTATCTCTCTATCTTTCTATCTCTCTATCTCTATATATATATCTCTCTCTCTATATATATATATATCGCCATCTTAGCATCTTGTCCTTTATATCACCGGCTTCCTGTATTTTTGGATATCTATAATGACGAAAGGCCTGGTGAGGCTATTCAACAAAGTTGCGCTCGTGAGGCTCGTTGATAAGCCCGTTTTTACCGGACGTCTATTGGTGGCGTAGCACGTAATAACTTGTCGACGTTGTACTCTCACGAACAATGAAAGCGGATGCTGTGCCGATATCGGATAAGCTTCTACTTGTGTCTGCGCTGAGTCATGTGGATATCAAAATTGGCTTGCTGATGTAATAGGTTGATTGGCGACGCACGTTTAAGATAAATGATTTACTGTTTAGAATTTGTATTCTAAACCATCATATTTTATATTATTTATACTATTTGATTTTGATTTGATTAACTTACTTTAATATAATCTAACATTATGCGTCATAGATGTTTTACATTTTATATTAATTTGTTTTATAGAGGTTTTTCAAAATAGTTTAATATTTAATTTTAAATGGCTATTTTAAAAATTTATATTAATTTATTTTATTTTAATTTATTTTAAGTTCATAACAGACATAATATATATTTGCCTTGCATTTCTAATTTTATTACAATCTTATTTAAGTATAAAAACTTGAGTCTAATAAAATTTATTCATGTAACAAACGAATTATTTTTTTTTATATTATCATAAAATCTTATCTTTTATATTTCCAGTATTTTACAAATAAAACTCTATGAACACTATAATTAAAAAGTACAATAATTAAATTCTAACACTATTGAGACTAATATTGTTCTACGGTCAAGTTATATTTAAAGACTGTTGTGTATTTTTACCTTTTCTCTTTTTCTCTCACTCTCTTGGTTATACTCTCTTAATAATTCTACCGTTTTCGCATATAAAAATGTAATTACATGAAAAAGTCAGATGCGTATGAGAAGCTTTGTATTCGTGGTTACGATTCGAGCATGGAATACGTGATGGTCCGAGTTCAGGTTATACGAGTCGCCACGTTTCAAACAAACCGTGATAATCAAGTCTGAGAGGTTACTTTTCGCTCCACCTAATCTGATTCACGTCACACTTTTGAGTTTACTTTTACTAATTATTTCAAGGAATGGAAATATTCCTTATATTAGATGAATTACTAATTAAATTATAAAATCATAATTTCTCCACGAAAATTTTATTTTAATCCTTAACGTCTTATAAATATAATCCACTAAACTGGAAAATAAAACTCATTTATATCATCATTTTTATCATATTAACGTACTATAAAAGAATTCAGGTTGTTAAATATTCCAAGTTCGTTTATTTCGTTTTTCTATTTATCACATG